AAAAAAACACAACAAAGGGGAAGCAACCGGTTTCGCTCCCGCTCTTCAGGCTTCAACGGGAGATTCAAAATTAATGCAGAAAAAATGTACAATAGAGGAATTGGTGGGTGGGGGGAATTTACGTATATATATATATATATAGATAGATAGATATAGATATAAAGGGATATATATATATCTATAGATATAGATAGATATAAAGGGATATATATATATATATATATATAGATATAGATAGATATAGATATAAAGTGATATATATAAATATATATATAGATATAGATATAGATAGATATAGTTATAAAGTGATATATATATATATACACACAATATATATATGCAGAAGGAACTTGAGACAGATGACAGCGAGTCCCAAAAAGCACTGTTGTGTTTTTTGGTTTTTAAAATTTTTTTAATATGTCTGGTAATATTAAATTTTACACTTTTATTTCGATCATATATATATATATATATATATATATATATATATATATATATATATATATATATATATACATACCATGAGAGAGAGAGAGAGAGAGAGTGTGTGAGAGAAACAAAACTTTACCATTTAAGCACCAGTTTATTAAGAACAAAGCACCGACACAAGTGTATATGTGCTTGTGTTCGCGCGTGTGTATGTATATAGAAGTATAGCTATACATGTATATGCATATGTGTGTGTATATGCGTGTAAACAAGCGTATAAATACGGACATATGCACATAAATTCAAACCAAAATAAGTAAAAAAATTAATTATTAACCTAACCTCCTCCAATTAATACTTAACCATATAAGAAAACGAAATAATTGCCAAGCGAAGACATATAAATATTTATCATTTAAGAAATAAAATTACTTACTTATGTAAAAATCGAAATGTAATTTTCCTGACACAAGAAAGGACTGAAATTTCTCAACGCTGACTCACCCATGGATCGTTTTCCCAGGACAATATTATCAAAGTTATTTCCTCGATAAACCAACCCAGACCTCATGGTCAGAATATATATATATATATATATATATATATATATATATATATATGTTATTTAATTTAAAGAAAAACAGACCAATTTGAGGGTCCATTGTAATAATTTATTTCACCAGAAAATTTTATTTTTCTCTGGACCTTCAGACTTCACTTTCTATATATACGTTTATATATATCACATTATATATAGTTTTTTCACATAAAAAATTTTGAAAAACTTAGCGTTGCGTCTTTGCACGTTCCGAGATCTTACACAACCGTCAATAATAGCAGATATTCAAAAAACATCTTTCGGTCGACATACAGATATATCGTCTCAAGTTTTTGATTTTATAAGGTAAAAAAACACATGCCTGATGATGGATGGAAGACTGTCCGTAAGTACTAGCATTTTAACATCAAATAAACTGAAAAACTACAGACAACAAGTTTTTCTTCAAGGATCAAAACTTGCACTATGGATGAACAGGATTTTAATGCATATATTATGTTTTCTAGCGATGGATGTCGCCAATAATCGCATTAATACTTCTGATTAATTCTATGTGTGATTATTCTTTGTATGTAAATCATATGCTGCCTAATATTTATATATATATATATATATATATATATATATATATATATACATATATATAATATATATATTTCACTTTATATATATATATACTTCCCTTTATATATATATATATGTATATATATATATATATATATATATATATATATATATATATATGTTTCGACCATGAGACCATTTGTCCTTACATTCCTCAATTTTCATTTTGTGAGCATGCGCAAAGAATACCATTTTCCATTCTTATCACAGAACAAGTTAATATTAAAGTAAAAGTGCCAAGAATCATTTGCAGCTTATACAAAATATGGCTTATTTTCTTACGTGGTTTATTTTAAGCTTGTGGTTCTTGTTTTTTTTACTTTGTATGTTTAACGTAATCTAAACATGTCGAATTAAATACTAAAATCCATTAATACAGGGAAGTGTAAGAATTGAGAACACCTCTTTACATATTTACATTATACCTCTCTACATATTTACATTATTCTGACTATTTTCCTCATCTTTGTCGCCATATTTATTACAACGTTTCGGCCGTTGTACGATCCGGTCTTCTTCAGGTGGTTGGAATGTCGAACTAAACCCTTTATTTCGCTCACTGGGGTAGACTGTTCTAGTTCCACGTACTATGTCTAATGGATGTCTGTTATCAGTTATCTCCTGTTAATTTCCCTCTGAAAGTTCTCTACTGCCTTAACCGGGTACTGAACTCACACTCTTTGGGTCCTGTTACTGGATCTAACTAACGCCTTTATCCACTTTGTCCTCATGTGAATAATGTACATCATACCTCATCTCAGAAATATATACAGATATCTCTATGCATGCTTATCCGAAATAAAAAATTAAAATGAGTCCATTTTATTGATTATTGTAATTGTGCGAGCAAACACACCTTGAAAAGGTTCTCTGGACAAACATTCACAAATATACTCTCATTAATGAGGACTTTTTTTATATGCCTTCTTTTTTTATATGCCTTCTTTTTTTATATGCCTTCTTTTCTTAAAGTCATTTTCAGTGGCGCCAGGAGTTCTCAATATTTCGAGTATATTCATATGGAAATTGAGTACGTAATATTCCCATACAGTCACCCATCTCAATACTGACCATACCCTACGTTACTTAACTTCGGTGATGATATTCACTTACCGCCCCACACGGTCGGATGTGGCACAAGGCTGAATTTATTGTGGGGTATCCGAGCTCGTGGGCTTGGGCAAAAATTCGCCGTAGACCCCGTAAAAACGGGGTCGGGTAGCTGTCTACCACCCCGGACGAGACTCTGCCCTTTGGCACAGCCTCGTCTGGGTTCCTCTCTACACAGAGGCAGAGAGTTCGACAAGCACACGTCCGAAGTAATTAACTTCGATGATGGTACGGGAATCGGTGTTTCATCGTGATGTGGCCATAAGCCCACTTTAATAACAGACATAGATATAAAGGGATATATATATATATATATATATATATATATATATATATATAGATAGATAGATAGATAGATAGATAGATAGATAGATATAGATATAAAGGGATATATATAAATATAGATATAGATATAGATAGATATAGATATAAAGGGATATATATATATATATAGATAGATAGATAGATAGATATAGATATCGATAGATATAGATATAAAGTGATATATATAAATATAGATATAGATATAGATAGATATAGATATAAAGTGATAATATATAAGTATACATAGAGATATAGATAGATATAGATATAAAGGGATATATAAATATATATGTAGATATAGATAGATATAGGTATAAAGGGATATATATATAAATATATAGATATAGATAGATATAGGTATAAAGTGATATATATAAATATATATAGAGATATAGATAGATATAGATATAAAGAGATATATATAAATATATATATATATATATATAGATATAGATAGATATAGATATAAAGTGATATATATATATAAATACATATATAGATATAGATAAATAGATATAGATATAAAGTGATATATATATATAAATATATATATATAGATATAGATAGATATAAAGTTATATATATAAATATATATATATAGATATAGATAGATATAGATATAAAGTGACATATATAAATATATATATATAGAAAGTGAAGTCTGAAGGTTCAGAGAAAAATAAAATTTTCTGGTGAAATAAATTATTACAATGGAGCCTCAAAGTGGTTTGTTTTTCTTTAAATATATATATATATATATATATATATATATATATATATATCTTTAGGAACTTCAAGACAAGGTAATCAAGAAAAAAAGGGTCTATCAAATGGAAAGCGACGCAGTGTATAGTGTTTAGCAGCTGGGTAGATGCGACCAACGAATTAGAGACGTCGTGGTCATGGAAATGCACAAATTTAATTATTTCGGAAATATACTAGACAACGGATAATATAACACCCAATGCGCTAGAAACAAAGAAAAAGGTTGCTAAAATGCTATATAATATGAATCCTCCTTTATAACCGTGAATTCTGGACAATCTACTCACAGATGAAGAGGAGACTTGAAACAAAAGAGATGTGGCTCTACAGAAGGCTGCTGAGAATACCATGAATAGAACATGCACGTTTCAAGAGATATGTAACCGAAAAGAACATTTGTATTTAGACTCAAATAGAGACAGTTAAAATTTCCAGGCCTCATAATGAGGAAAGAAGACTTGGAAAATTTGACACTCCCAGGAAGCTGAAGATAAGAGAGAAGGAGAAAAGCAGTTACCAACCCATTATATTTCTGAGATGAGGTATTGTAATTATTTACACTGATTACATTGTTAGAACTGTTGTCTTCATCTTTGTTGCCATATTCACAACGTTTCGACCGTTTTAAGCTCCGACCATCATCAGGGGATTGGAATTTCGAACCAAACCCTTTAATTTCTGCTGGACGAAATAAAAGATTTGGTACGAAATTCCAATCACCTGAAAAAGGCCGGAGCGTACAATAACCGAAACGTCGTGAATATGATAAGAAAGACGATGACAACAGTCCGAACAATGTAATTAGTGTAAATAGCTAGTAAACTCCCTAATGAATTTGTATTACTGTATAGCAGAAAAGAGACTGAAGTGATAGTAAGGGACAGACATTGTTTAGAGCTAGAAAGATGGGAAATTGTGGAGAGTCATGATCAGCAAATATCCTGAAGGAAGTTCCTTCTTTTCTTAGGTGTCATGCGTAATACACACATTGGCTTTCACGTCTCTTTCCGATTCATAATTGTCTTTCTGCGGTACAGCCAAGGTTATAGGACCGAGTCTATCGTGTTATTTAATCCATAGCAGTGGGACGAAGAGATTGATTAATATCTTCTCAGAGGTATTTACGTGTAACGAACTCGACTGGAATTCAAGCTCGGCCGTCACCCATTACATCCTCCACACCTCCAAGCTTACAGCGCCTAGTGTTCCCAAGCAGTCACCCATCCAGGTACTGACCAGGCGCGACGTTGTTTAACTTCGGTGCTCGTAGATGAACCGGTGTTTCAACGTGATACGGATGTAATCACCGACATATATCACAGAGACACAGTAAAAGAATTTGTATAATCCTTCATAAATATACATTGTTATTTAATCATTCCACTCCAAGTAAGGCGATAATGCCACTAAGACGCAAGAGGTTACTGGGAGTGAATGAGAATGAGGAGACTTTAGGGGGAGGAGAAAGGAGAATAAAAGAACAGGGTTCAGAAAGGCAGAAGACGGCGATTGGCATTGCATTTAAAATTTCGAAAATTATAGGTGGCAGGGAAGAAAGAAATCAGAATTCCACAGGCGAGAAGTGCGAGAAAGTAAACATACGGTTATATCTAGCTAGATCAACAGTAAAACGGTGATACCTGGTTGGTAAATACTAGCAGGCTTAAATTCCTGCGAACGAAGGATCAAGGAGGAAACTTCATTAGAACGATTGTCATGAAAATATATGTAGATGTTGTGGTGTCCTCTCTCTAATGAGGCTATTGTGGACTCTTCCACTTACTATAAAGTAATAGAAAAAATAAGCCTCGGGGAACCGGTGATATAAACCGTTCATTACTGTCGAAATCTCCGACTCGGCGGAGAGGAACCCGGACGAGGCTTTGCCGAAGGGTAAAGTTTCGTCCAGGGAGGTAGACAGGCCCTGGACCCGTTTATACGGGTCCAAAGGGAATATTTTTCGCCGAACCTACGGGCTCGGAGAACCCACGATAAACTCTGCCTTGTACCACATACGAACCACTTGGGGGGCAGTTAAATATAATAGTGATATAGACTGTTCTTCCGAGGCTGTTCGCATTTCCCGTTGAATTGTCTGCTTTTGACAAAGAGGAACCCGGACGAGGCTGTGTCGAAGGGGAGTGTTTGGTCCGGGGTGGTAGAGAGACCGGAATCCATTTATGCGGGTTCTACGGGGATTTTTTTTTTTGCCGAGCCGACGGGATCGGATGACCTACGTTAAACTCGGCCTTGTGTCACATATATCCCTTGTGGGAGGGTGCTGTTAAATATTAACAGTGATATAGACTCTTCTATCGAGGCTGTGACCGTTCTCAGCTCCTGTCGAACTTTGTGCCTTAGGCAGAGAGGAATCCGCAGAAGTCTGTGCTGAAGGGCAGAGTCTCGTCTGGGGAGGTAGATAGACCCGAACCCGTTTATGAGGGTTCTACGGAGATGTTTTGGTCGAGCCTATGGGCTCGGATGACCCACGTTAAACAAGGCCTTGCGCCACATGTACCCTCGTGGTGAGGAGCTACTGAATATCAACAGTAATATAGACTGAACGTGGTCAATCGAAACACACTCCTAAGTCGTGTAATACTCTTCTGTTGTATTTACTGTTCAATACACGATTTATCTGCAGCCTTTTGTTTTGTTATTTCATAACCATTTACTTGCTCACAACAGTAGAAAAGAGAGAAGGAAGCCACGCCCCGTCGGCGAGAATATGAGTGAAGTCGAGATGCCAGGTCAGGACCGACAATATTGCAGACCCTTTGAGTTTTGCCGAAACTCTTGAGATATATAACAGACCAGATATGGCAGCAATATTAAATGCACGGACGAATGGTAGATTTATAAATGTCTAAGATGGATGAGCAAAATACTGTCTTGCACGAAACCAAACCAACTTTCCTAGAATTAAACCTTACTTCTGTAATATGCATTAACATAGATTTAAATAATGTCGGCAATTCGTTTAGATTCCTGATATTGACTCCCAGATCGTCTTAACCAAAATAAAATTATATTTGATATATCCCTCTTCGTTTTTTTTTTTATTTTTATTTTAGGATATGACCTCTTTATTCTGACACCCTAGACTTCCGGTAGTCTCTTAGATTTCTTCTTTAGAGTCGCATCCTACACAAAACCTTTATTTACCGCTGTTGGGTTCCAACCGAAAAAAAACCCTCACGCTAAATGAGTGCATGACGAGAATCCCAGCGGGGTTTCTCCCACACAATCATTTTGCACTCTGTCAAACCATGATTAGCTCTTTTCTTGAAAGTTCATCTAGAACAAGGTTACCCAGTTTTAATTCTCCTGGAAATAAGTTATTAGCACCCTATAGGAATAGATTGAACCGTCTCATGATGACACTTCAGTTTAAATAGATAATTTCGAGTCCTGAATATTTAAATTAAGTGGTCTCGCAAATATTGTGAGTGCTGTACAGTGTTGTTTTACGACACGTGTTGCTAATACCCTTGGGAAAGTTATAAATCCTCTTCTTCTCCCCATAGCTATGAATAAATAGTAGGACAGACCGGGTTCTATAGCCTTGGATGGCAACTGGTCTACCGCAGAAAGAAATGGCAACCTACTGCAGGGAAAAATCAGCCTCGTCAGTCATGTATCAAAAGATACACAATTGCCTAAGCGTGTATCACGCATGGCACATAATTGAGTGACTGACTGTCGAATCTATTACAGTCACTTACGTGCTAATACCCTTGAGAAAGGTATGAATTCTCTTCTTCTTCCCCAGCTATGAGTAAATAGCAGGACAAAGCGGGTTCTATAGCCTTGGATGGCAACTGGTCTATCGCAGAAAGAAATGGCAATCTACTGCGGGAAAAATCTGCGTCGACAGTCATTTATCAAAAGATACATGATCGCCTAAGCGTGTATCACTCATGCCACATAACTGACTCTTCAGTAAACTTCCTGTCGTCTGACTCTTTACTCCACACTTTACTTGTACTATAAGCAACAGGTTCAAATAGATAAAATCCTAATTACAAATCCCACTAAAACTCCCTGAAACAAGGAGGTTTTATATCTTCTTGAACCTCTTTCTCCCTCCCCGTGTCTTAATATTTATTTTCTGTTCTTTTTAATAGAGATTTTGGTCTAATTTTCTCTTCTTTCGTGTCTGAGTCACTCCCGCTATCATCCATAGGCTAATTTTCTATTATATTTCCCTGATCTGAAGAACTCATCCTTTCTTCTTTGTCAAGATCTTCCTCCAGGACATCTTCCTATTCAATTATGGGTCTTCTTTGATATCACGGTTGTATCATGTGCTCTTATGTACCCTTTTCATGATGAAATTAGCTTTGTCAGGATTTGCTACTTTGTCTTTTTATACGTCCTTTTCAATTTATACCTTTTTATATCATTTTGTATCATTTTTTATATCATTTTTATATATATATATATATATATATATATATATATATATATATAATATTATATATATATATAAATAAAAAAGAAAGAACAGTAAGATATATAATCCGGTGTTCTTATAGATATTTTTATTTTTTATAAAATAGTATGGAACTAATGTCTTTAATTTAATTACAAAATTAAATTCGGAGCTTTCAGCTTCCATTTTTGAAACATGGTTAGAACTGTGTAGCGAAAAAAACATATTTTAAATAAATCAATTTATAATATAAAGTCTTTTTTATCATTTTTTGTCATATTTTTATCATTTTTATATCATTTTATATATATATATATATATATATATATATATATATATATATATAATGTTATATATATTTTATATATTTTATATCATTTTATCATTTTTGACATATTTTATCATTTTATATCATTTTATATATATTATATATATATATATATATAATTATATATATTTTATCTATAGATATAAAATGTTATATATATTTTATATCTTTTATAATTTTTGTCATATTTTTATCATTTTTATATCATTTTATATATATTATATATATATATAACATGTTATATATATTTTGCATCATTTTATATCATTTTATATACATTTTTTATCATTTTTTATCATTTTTATATCATTGAATATCACATCTTTTTATTTATTCAGTGGGAATGTTAATGGATATCTTGTTTATCTTGCCCTTGATGCAGATGGGCTTTGCAATCTGTCTACTTCTGGAATAGTTCTATAACAAAGCAGTTTGTAGTTGTTTGTGAAAGTTCAAAAAAAATATATCTAAGATCATCTTCTTACAAGATCTTAGATGTAGGGCCCGATTTTACTTTAAAATTCCTGTCTTATCTCTCTGCAGGACTTATGGTTAGTCAAGTCAGAAGTAAATTATTTCCCGCCCGTAGAGATTGATTAAAACAACACGTGGATTCATTTTCGACTTCTTTCTTCCGCCATATTTCTTTTAATTTTTTTATTTTTTACCATTTACAGCAGCAAAAGACGTAATAGTCTTAACTTTTAAGAAAAACTATTTTATATTAATATTATTGACGAGTGTTTCTTCCACATTACTCTGAAATATTTATTCTTAACTATTAACCCAACTGTAAATTGATGATATTTCGACGCCAGTCTTGTGCTGCTCTTAAAAAGTCTAGGTACCATAACGAAGAGATCATCTTAACAATTACAATGAAAGTATTTATAGAAAAAACAGAGAGAGGCAACCGTCCGGTGATGGGAATCTGACTGAAGCCGAGCCGCCAGAATAGGACTCATAATATTGCTGATTTTATCAAAGATTTGGATTTTATCAAAGAAATGAAGGCAAATACCAGGGAGCACATAATCTTTAAATATATAGCAGGACTGCAGGACCATATGTGGCAACAATATTTTAAGCATGGACGAATGGTAGACTTATAGATATATAAGATAGATTCTGGAGAGAAAAATTCTCTCGCACGACACAGTGAACGAACTTTCTTAGCAGCTGACCTAACAATAGATTCAATATAGTCTTTTCACTTCATGTCAGCTGAGAATGTTAGCTCGAGAAGGCGCACTAAGTCACTTACCTGTAAATCAACACTGAAAACAGCTACTTACACCTGATCAATATAGTTAAGCTACTCGATGAGATGTTAGCTAGACGAGCCCTTAGGAAAAATCAGGTATTGTTGCTTACAGATAAAACAAAGCTATTAACCCATTACCTGCCAGGAGCCCCATTTGGGGATCTGTTAAAATTAAACTCACTACATGTTATATTCTTTGTATTTACATTGAATTGCTTACATACATTACATTTGTGGAGGTATATTTTACAACACTTAGCCTTTAAAGTT